TTCAATTATATTTGACCTTTCTTCTGTCCTTAGAATCTATAAAATCATATATTGCCACGTGGGAACATTGCTAAATATAATGAACAAAATTTACCTTTTCGTTTATTAGGTGTTAATTGTCAAAGTAGTTTTGTGCTTAGTATTCTAAGGAGTCCACCCAAAGGCAAAAATAAAATAAGGGTTTTCACTTATAAAAAATAATGACTTTTGAATCCAATTTCTCTCTAGGGATTATACATCTAGTTTTGTTTTTGTCTAAGTTATGTTTAAAATTTATATTTAGAAAGAGAAGAAAAAAAAAAAGATTAATATGTATTTGAGAGTTACTTATTTAAGAAAAAAATAGTTTTAGTTTTTTTAAACTCTTCAAAATTCATAGAATCTCACTTTTTTGAGTTTTCCTAACATTTTTTTTTCGTTCTCTTGTATTTTTGTAATATTAATATTTTAATTTTTTATAATATTATTAGACTTTTCAAGTGAAAATATTTTAAAAAATTATAAAAAATAAAAATTAATTTTAAAAATTAATTTTTTTATTTTTAAAATATAAAAATATAAAATATAAAATACACTAATATTATTTATATAATTAAACCTTGCATCACTTTCTCCTTTAATATTAAACATTCAAACAACGAATAAGTTTAACCTCCTTCACTCTTCTTTCTCTTTTTCCTTTAGACTTTTTTTTCTTTATTTTTTTAAACTCTCAAATAAAATTTTAAATAAAAATGGATTCATTTAATAAAAAAATAAAAAATAATAAAAATTTTATACTTTTAAAAAAAAGCCATTAAATAATTTTAAAGAGGTTTGAATTGGGTGACAATATAACATGTATTATATATATGATGGGAACTATAGTCCATGAAAATCGTCCGATCGCGGAAATCCACGCGTTAGCTTAGACCCACCAAACTCGGATCTGTTTGACCAAAACCATATGGGTGTGCACAACTCTACACTTACAACACTATTCATTTAATAACTTAAACTCTGCATATGATTATTTATTAGCACTATAACTTTCACATGATCATTCATTACAATTTCAATTGAATTTGTTGACCATATATATTCTTATGACCAAAATGCCCCTACTATGCTTTGTATAAAATAGACAAAATTTAAGATTAAATTTCCTTATATTTTCTTGCCCTTGTATTCTCAAATTAAGAAACTCATCTGCCATATTATTTAATTTGAGATTTCAAATACAAAGTTATAAATATGAATCTTTATTCTTTTTTCTTTTCTTTTCTTTTCTTGTCAAGTGTTTCAAATAGATTTTGTAAATTTAATTTTGTAATAGTAAATTTTTCAAATTTTTAGTGAAACATTTTTAAAAATTTAATCTTGTTAAAATATTTATGAATATCTCATTGATTTAATATATTCACAAAGAAAGTTTAATTTTAACATAAAAAACGTTAAATTAAAAGATTACCTTAGTTATAATTTTTGAAGTATTTATTATAAAATTCAATGATTTTTAGTTATTTGATATCAAGTCTATGATTACATGATAAAATACATAAATTTTACACTGCCAAGCATTTTGACTAGATTCCTATAAGAAAATACAAGAAAACTAAGATAAAAATATTATATAGAATTAATATACTTGATAAATAATTATTTTAATGATAAGAAATATAAATAATTTATTAAATTAATTTTTTAAATATAAAAGATTAATTTAGTGAATCATGATCATACTAATATTTTATTATAATTCTGTTGATTATCAATAAATTTAAATATTAATTAATAAAAATAAAACATTTTTATTTAAATAACTATTTAAAAATAAATATTAATTTAGATTATTTAACTTGATTTGAAAATTCATAATACATGTCACAATATAAAATATAAAAATTTAAAATAAAATTTCAAATTATATATATAGAAAGAGAGAATTTTCTTACATTAGTGTGAATCTAAAATTTTTTACACTTAATCTGAACTTTTCATTTAACTTATATCTAATGATCGGTACAGTAATAAATTATAACTCATTAAATGTAAGTTAAATAAAAAACTTAAATCAAATGTAAGAGTTTTTAAACTTACACAAATATTTGAAAAAAAAAATTTCTCTAATATATTGCAGGGGTATTTTGGTCCTCCCAGAAAGTGAAAAGTCATAGCAAAACCACGTCCTATATCTCCGGCTCGATGTTTGTTTCAAGTTTTCACATTTACGTGTGTCACTCTCTTATTAAACACAAGATCCCCACCAACACCCTACCAATAGAGATTGAATCAAACCAATCAGTCACCGTCTGATCCAAATCACAGGGCAGAGAGGCCAAATATCACCACATTTGGCATACAAAAATAAAACTGAACCAACCCATGTCTCACATGTCTTTATCTATATAAACAACAAGCTTAGCTCACATCAAATTTGCATTCCCATCCTTTTGTCCCTCAGTCTTTTGAGACATTTTGGTAAATTATGAACATGAAGCACTTCCACTTGCTCTTTCTCTTCACCATTCTTCTCTTCTTCACACCTTCATCTCATGCCACTAGGACCAAGTTCTCTTCAGGCCCTTCTTCCACTTCTAGCCAACAAGATTTTCATCCATGGCCCAATTCTCCAATTAGTAGCAGAGATGGAGAATTTGAGTCTCAGAAGAGAAGGGTCCCAACAGGATCCAACCCTTTACACAATAAGAGATAGGTTTTGGGTGGTAATACTAATACCCATTTTTCAGACTAGTATACAAGAAGATGTTTCTTTCAATATTTATTTGTCATATACAGGTACATATGTATATACACTTTATTTATATGCTAGCAAATCAAATTGAAGTTGAAGTTGCATTTGTATCTGATATTAGGAAGAGTGGCTGGTTAGCAAGAGTTTTGGAGTTGTTGTACAGAAATTTAAATGTAAAGAGAATTTTGTGTTTCTGAAGGTTTGAAACCGTACATGGATTATATATTAGAAATGACAAGTGTTTAGTTCTGTACATTTTCTTTGCCTTGAATGAAGATTCCTGTTCCATTGGAACTTGCAGCAGAATTTTAAGGAATCAATTGAAGTATGATTTATAGCATCAATTAGCTTCTTCAATGGACTTGGTATGTGACTCAATGCCAAAGATGGGTCTCCTCCAGAATTCACATGATATAAACATGATTTTCATAGCTATGACTTCTGTTCTGATAGTTTGGTTGCTGGGAAAAGCAGCAACCTTGCAGATTCTTCCATGTCATCATTCCCTCTCTGTGCTTCTTAATTACATATCTATATATCTGGCTTCTACCCGATGCAACCTGAATCGTTTTATAACAGCTCGCTTTCTTTATTTTAGTCAGAATTAGACTATATATACATACATATATTTATATATATATATATATATATAATCTGTTATAGTGCTTAATAATGTGGTTAAATTTAGTTTGTTTAATTTAGTATTCAAGCTCTACCAAATTGTGGAATGAAAAAGGAAGGGCTGAACTTCTGAGTTCTTAGTATATGAAAATGAAATAGCATGAACCTACTCATTAATTATTCATCACAGTTCACTTATTAATCATCATACTTCCACTGGTACCATAGTCCCCACACATTGAATGCAGTGTGTTAAATACCAATTACTTCACACAACAACCACGCAATTCTTCTGAATGGAAATTAAATTACATTAATTTGTATACTTAGAAATATCAACATGAACAAGTAACATGTCATAGTACCTATTAAGATGTACAAGGAAGTGATAGGAAGCACACTATTGTTGTATTTAAGTAAGTGTATTGCGATTTATGATAGAAAATAAAAGAATATATATATATTTTTACAGTCATTTGGGTCCCAATAACTTTTCTATAAAATAAACTTTTATTTTATATAAATATAATATAATTTGATTTTATTCATATGATCTCTCTTCATTAATAACATGAAATATATGTTGCATTTTATACGTTATATTATAGTCGTGTTATCATGTAACTCTTAAAACTTGTATTTTTTATGTTTATGTTATATTATATTTGTGTATCATATCATACTCTTGATTTCCAAATTATTAAGCAGTGACAGAGATAATTTTAAAAATTACAAGAATTACAATTACTAAAAACTTGAAATATATTAAGTATTTTTTATGGCAGTTATAGAATGAATTTTCTCTAAAATTAAAGGGTACAGTAGTTAATATTGAAAAAAGGTACTAATGTGCTGCACAAAATTATTTAATAACACTAAATACACTATTTTATGTTTGAATAATATTAGTAATACGCTCTTTGTAATAATTTTTTAAATGAAACATGATTTTCTCAGGTTAGTATAAGTTTAAAAATTCTTACATTCGATTTAAGTTTAAAATTTGAGGGTGAAGAAGGTAAAAAAATGTTTATTCAATCTCCAAGCTCAACTAAATGAAGGAAATGTAATGGAGGAAAAGATATTATAATTTTAGAAAGACCTTGTAGCATGAAAAATGGAGGAAGAAGGGCATATGGTTTTAGAAAAGATTATCCAAAGTTGGAAGAATGCAAGAAGACACCAAAGACCCACATTTCCAAATACCAGGACAATAATTTGATTTCAAAACTTTAAATTCAAATTTTCATATTTGAATTGTTTGATTAGTTAATTATGTCTAGCAATATTTGACATGTTAATAATTTATTATATATAATAATATACAAATTCAACTACAAAATAACACGCATTCATATTATTTAATTAATATACTCACAAATCCCATGCATGGCACGGGTTACACACCTGCATTTAACATAAATTGGAATAGCAAACAAAGTAAACTTCAATGAAATAGGCGAAATCAAGACAAACAAAGGCTGAGCCAGGATGGCCTTATTAACATTAAGCCAACTACAGTTGGGTCTTACTATAAAGCAAGAGAAACTGACGAAATCAAGAGACTTGGAAAATGACAAGAAGCTTTGATGGTCTATATAGAGTATCATAAAGATCCTTTAAGGAAGCAATCAACGAACACTGTCTATTCTGTTGTAGTCGAAGAAAGACTCTGCTCCACGATGTCATATTTGAAATAAGTGTTGACCCCAGTAAACAGGCCATCCTCGAATTGTGAGGTTACAATTTTTCCACTGAAAAGAGTGTCACGTTGAGTGTATGAGAAGGGGACGTCTATGGCTCCTTTTGTTACTATCAGAGTAACTTTTGTTCTGGTCATGGGCGGAAGTTTTACGGTCAAATTTGTACTGATTTCGGTTGATTGTTCCATAGTTTCTCCCCACGAATATTCTCCTGAATATGAGGAACTAATTGATATTGCTCCTTCTGCAAGAATTGGAATACCTGTTTTTATGGTAGTGGAAACATCCACGGACCAAGCATGAGATGCATTCCAAGTACTGCTCTTAGTTTCTTTGTACGAGAAACTCACTGTTCCTTGTTCTTCGTTTTGCGTCTTATTGTCTACCTCTTTAGTCACAGTAGTTCCACCTGATACATCATAGATCTTGGCATTTTCTGTGTAGAATGTTACGTTATAGATTTCCCTTTTGCTTACAACCTCATACAGTTGAAGATGAGACCATATATTAACCTCAGCCTCAAGGGCATTAAGGCAGTTGGTCTTGCCCTCTGTGGTTAGGGCGTTGCAAAACCGGTTGTTGCCTAAATTTTTTAGAGCAATAACGTTGTCTTTAATCTTGACTGGCCAAAACACTGTGTCACTATTGTTAGCAGTGGTGTCATCACTGTCAGCCCATATCCAATTAGGGCTGCGCCTCCAAAACTTGCCAAAATGATTAGACTTTATGCGGACATTTCCATTACTTAGTCTGAAGACCTCGTACCTAAGGAAATTTTATCAATGTATAAAAAACTAGTGTGTGCGACAATATCTTAAAAAACATTATAAGTACCATACTTTAAATATAAATAAATAAAAAAATATATTTTAAGACTTATTAATAACATATATTATTATATATAATTTATTAAAATTATTATTATTTATTAATAAATCTATTATTTGTTATAATTGTATGTTATGTTATACAGTTTTATTTTTTTTCTTTATAACTTATTAAGATGTGATTTTTAATTAGTTAAAAAAAGTGATTTGATTCTCGTAAAAAGTGTCTAATAAATATATTATAGAAATAAAATATATAGGTGTATGCTGTGATACTCTAAAATTTTTTTATGGGTACAGAACTTAAAAAATTTATACCATTAAAAAAACCACATGGCAAGTTAAAAAATATATTATTATATATAATTTATTTAAAATTATATTATTTATATTGTTTGTTATATAGTTCTATTGTTATTATATATATATATTATATTAAATTTTTTATTTTATTTTTTTATTATTATTTTATAAATTTTTAGTTTTAAATAAAATATAATTTATATTTAAATAATTTTTATTATTATAAATAAAAATAATTATAACATAATATATTAATATAATATTATTATTTTATTTTTAATTTTAGTTCATTTAATTTTGATTGTATTTTATTTTTATTGTTTAAATATAACAAATATAATAGTTTATGAGTAAATAAATTTATTATTTAAATAAATATATAAATATTTTTAATTTTAAATAAAATAAAATTTTATTTATTATAAATAAAAAGAATTATAACATAATATATTAATATAATATTATTATTTTATTTTTAAATTTTAGTTTGTTTAGTTTTAATTATATTTTGTTAATATTTGAAGATTAATTGCTATTCAGCGTATTTAAATATAAGAAATATAATAATTTATTATTAAATAAATTTATTATTTAAATATATGTTTAAATATTATTGATTAAAATTTTTTGTTTAAATATTATTAATTAAAATTTTTTATGTACACTGCTAAAAAAATTTTTTAAGTTAGCACAGAATTTATCAAATATATATCTTCGTACCTAATGGTTGAATCATAAATGTCGTCGGATGCAAACTGATGATATGGATGGCTTTGGATCACCCGTGCACTAAGGTATAAGTCATTATAACCTTTGAATGTAACATGTTGAGGCAGTATCACCGAGGACTCCATGTTTAGCACTTTGAAGCTTTGCGCACTCGCAATATCTACTTGCCTAATGCACAAGCAATTCAGATCAGCATCTATGTCCAAGTAGCCTCCATGTTGGACATGCAAGAAGCTGAAGGAACTCCCATCAGCATCGGTGACACAAGGTTGGAACAATGTGCAAGACCATTTGGATTTGTCTTCCTCGGGTTCATGAGCTGCCACAACAATCCAATTATCCTCCTCGGAGGATCTCACCAAGTACTTGTTGTTGTAACAGCATCTTATGTGCACCAAGTTCTCATCACTCTTAGATCTCTCTGTTTCAAACTTTGTGTATGGACTCACAATCTCATCTCCAGAGTTCTGTAAGAAACCCTGCAACTTTTTATCTTTATGAACTAAGCGCAAGTATTTATCATCTGTACCCTTTCTCTGGAGAGCTATTAACCGTGGCAAAGCCAACACCGTAGCCATCTCTCTTTTTCTCAGTATATCTCAAAGTACAAAATTTCTATTTGATATTTGCTCGCTTGGTGCAAGTCTTGCCTCAACCTTCTCTTCTATTTATAGCCAAAAAACTTATGATAAGCTATGCAGAAACTATATTGGTAATTCATAAACGAATGATTCCAACGTAGAAAGTTACGGTGATTCAAAAGTATAAGGAGTCTCTGATAGCAAATATATATGTAAATAAATATGTAATAACTTAATAATAAACGTGATTTACCCATATGAGCGAAAAAAAACGTTATTCACCGAATGGTGCTCCAAAGACTATTAACTAACACTCTTCATTCGTCCAAATTTGAGGCGCCTGGGACCCAAGAATAATGTCTGTTAGTCAAAATTGATAGTTTAGGGTTTAGGGTCTCAATTTTTCATTTGGTAGGCACCTGGTAGGTACCGTCATTTTTTGTCAAAATGCTACAGTAAGTTACTGTATCAACATTGAAAAATTAACAAATTACTGTAGCAAATTTTGCCTGAAACAACGGAGGATAACATACAATCAGATCCGTTAAGAAAATTGAAATTATTATTTTGTAGTTCTTATTTTATTTTGAAAGAGTATTTATTGAGAGAAAAAATAGAGTGATTTATTATTCTTTATTCTCATAATTTTAAAGGATTTCTTGTACTCTCCTTTTTACATAGTAGAATTATTTTGTTCGTCGTCCGTGAGTTTTTTTTTTCAATTTGAAGTTTTTTTCACGTTAAGATCCTGTCTACATTATTCTCTTCCTTCTTTTTATTTCTAATTAAATTTGATCCAGTCTTCCGCATTGCATTAATTCCCAACAATGTCCCTCATCAAACAAAAAACGGAATAAATTAGTATCAATGTCAAAATATAATTATTAATATTTGTTTTCTTTCTTTCATGTGGTTGGTAGCTCGCATTTTCTTATTTATAATATGTAAATAATTATTTTTTAAGTACAAAAATTATTTATTTATTTTATAAAATATTCGATAAAAAGATTTATAAAAACATGCTTTATTTATAACATACTAGCAATAATTTTATAAAAACTCAGTTTTTATTTTATTTTCTAAATTTTGTGAAATAATATTGAAAATAATTATTATTTCTATTTTATGTTTTATATAATTTTTAATTACACTTATTAATGTTTTACCATTTAAAAATATATTATCAAAAATATTTTTGTAAAAATAAATTATATTACAAGAGATATTTCATTAAAAAATCATACATAAAAATGAAATTTTCTCAAACATTTCATCCAAGAAAAAGATTCCTAGAAATGTCATAGTACCTTGTTATAATTCAACATTCTTGTTTCATTTTTAATTTTATAAAATACTATAACTTTTTTTTATTACGCTGATTTGCCAAAAGCTGTATATGTGCGGTTACTTAGCTAAAATCGATGAGATATAGAAAACGTGAACTGAGTTTAAAACTTTAGCACAAAATAATCGAGTTTATGATGTGTATATATAAACATCAATTATTAATACCTCTAAAGGTTCAATTACCTCCTAAAACAAATATATAGTTATCTATTTAACAATATAGTTAAATAGATAACTATTTAATTTAGTGTCTACATTATAGATCAGTTTTGAAATAGTCACAAAGTGCATAATTTCTTTAAAAAGTCACAAAAATGGGTATCTAAATATGTGATTCCTTCATCATATCAATTACAAAATCAGCTACTAATAAAAATCAGTCACTATATCAGTTGTTATGTGAGTTATAGCAGTCACTATATCAGTTACAATTATGGTTATTATAAAAAAGTCACTAATTTTGTTTGTATAAAAAAGATTAGTCATAAAATTGGTCACAAATTTGGTTTACTTTTTTTTATTATAAAATTAGTTATAATTTTTGAAGTATTTATTATAAAATTCAATGACTTTTAGTTATTTGATATCAAGTCTATGATTACATGATAACATACATAAATTTTACACTGCCAAGCATTTTGACTAGATTCATATAAGAAAATACAAGAAAACTAAGATAAAAATATTATATAGAATTAATATACTTGATAAATAATTATTTTAATGATAAGAAATATAAATAATTTATTAAATTAATTTAATTTTTTAAATATAAAAGATTAATTTAGTGAATCATGATCATACTAATATTTTATTATATCTCTGTTGATTATCAATAAATTATTTAAATATATAAAACTTTGTGTATGGACTCACAATCTCATCTCCAGAGTTCTGCAAGAAACCGTGGCAAAGCCAACACCGTAGCCATCTCCACAATAACTTTCTATTTGATATTTGCTCGCTTGGTGCAAGTCTTGCCTCAACCTTCTCTTCTGTTTATAGCCAAAAAGCTTATGATAAGCTTTGCAGAAACTATATCGGTAATTCATAAACGAATGATTCCAACGTGTGCAAAATAGTTATGTACTTTGAAAATAAAATAAAAGTGGCATAACAATGAGATATATATGGCATGCCGGCACCAACACCATGGATTGAACATTGAATATACAACTAAAACAACAGTTATTGTGGATTCCACTTTTGTTTTCTGTGTACTCTTGCTGGATTCTACTCCAATGAACACCTATCATATTTCTTTTGCTATATCTTTAATGTTTTTAATAACTAATTACTAAAATAAATTAAAATTTAAACTATTTCTCTTTGGTGTTTTTGGCCATATGAACTTAAACTTTGTATTTTCTAAATACAAAACTTTTTTTTTTCCATAAATTTTGTCCTAGCAAAAGACAAAACTATAAGATACTGACACATGTTGTAATGGTAGAAAGTTTTGTCTCTTGGAGAAACAAAACTAAAACACATTAATTTTTTAAAAATTTGAATTTAAATTTTGACGATTATAGACTTTAAATGAGTTTCATCACTATTCATCTATGTTAAGAACGAAACTCATCTAATTAGGTCACATGTCATGACGGGCAATGATCACTGGCTTTTTCTCTTCCTTCCCCGCTCCTAACAGTGTTCCCTCACCCTCTTTTCCACTTGCTCTTCATTCATCCATTTCCATTTTTTACTTTTGAGTTGCTCTCAAAACTGGGAAGGTGATTAGTCATCAAAAGTTTCTTTAAGCGTTGGTTGTTGCCTGTTTTGCCGCTACTAGTTTTCGTATGTATCTCTATCATTGGTTCAAACGTATGTTTGTATCATCGTTGTCGTCGCCACCGTCTGTGTGTGTGTCCCTGCCACTTTTGTTAGAAACTGTCGCCTCCAAAGTTTTGGTTTAAATTATTTTCTTTTATAAATTGAATAAGTATAAATTTTTATTTGGATAAATGTAATACTAATTGAAAATGTGTATTATTATTTATTTAAATTTATATTTGCATTAATTGTAAATAATTTTAATTATAAAATGATTAAAATAAATATTATGGAAACTTAAATTATAATTAAAATAGCAAAAGAGACTATTTGTAAAAAGATTTAAAATAAATCTGACTTATATATGTGTATTTAAATTAAAATAAATTTAGAATTTGTGTTATTATTTGTATATTTCAATATTTTTTTATTTTTATTATAAAAGTATAGATAAATATATTAAATAAACATAAATATTGATTATATATATTTTTTATTATATTTAAATTTTATTTGTATTAAAATATTGTTAAAAATTTTATGAATATAATAATTAAATTAAGAATGAGTAATACTTAAATTTAAAATTAATAATGGAAAAAATGAATGTTTGAAATTATAAGTAAATATGAGTTAAAAAAATATATTTATTTTAGTTAATTCATTAGTAAATAATGTTGAATTAAATAAAGTGTATAATATTGAAAATAAAATTAATGATAAGTGTATTAAATTAATATACATAAATAAATTAAATAAACATAAATATTGATTATTATATTTAAATTGTCCTTGTATTAAAATATTGTTAATAATTTTTGGAATATAATAATTAAATTAAGAATTAGAAATAATCAAATTTAAAATAATAATGGTAGGAAAGAATGTTTTAAATTATAAGTAAATATGAATTATGAAATACTTTTTTTTAGTTAATACATTAGTAAATAATGTTGAATTAAATAGAGTGCATAATATTGAAAGTAAAATTAATAAGTAATGTATTAGTATTATATTATTTTCATTGTATCATTAAATAATAATATGATTATGATGTTTAATAGATTATGAAAGAAAATTATGATTATAATTATAATTTATGTTCATGTTCATGTGTTATTTTAATTTATTTTGACTATTTTTGGATTTTAATTGATTTTATTTGTATTTTAATGTTATATAAATGTCATACAAATGAATTGATTGTTTTAGTAATGATGTTGTGAAGAATAATATAATTAAAAATAAATATAATAGAATTTTTAGAATCTATTAGTAATCATAAATTAACAAATGAATTAAACATATATATATGTTATATAAAAATTTATTTTATTTATATTTGTATTTAGAATATTATTAAAAAATTTAGACTAAAATTTATTGAAATAAATATTAGTCATACTTAAATTACAATTAAAGTAATAAAACATAGTAGTTATAATAAATTATAATAAATGAAAATTACCAAATATAACAATATATTGTAAATAATTTTGAAAATAAATATTACTTATATAAATATTATTTTGGCATTAAAAGTTCCTTTATAAGTGATTTTTTATTTAATGTAATTATATAAATATTGTGAGTTGTTATTATTTTTTAATTATTAGTAACTTAAATAGATAAAATTATTTGCAAATAATTTCATCTCCAAGGTAAAGGAGGATAATTCATCTCAAGTCAAAAGGTCCTTTATTGTTGCTATTTCAAAGCATTCATATATCTATCACATTTAGGATAGTCAAGATCATTTTATTTTAAAGGTTATGAAGAACTAACTTATTTTAATTGGTTTGGAAGATGTTCCAACTAAAATCCTTCCTCATTTTGAGTTTGATAGATTTACTAGAATTGCCCATGTTAGTTTCTACTAGTCCTTCCATTGATCATTGCACTAGTGGAGAGATGGAGGCTAGACACCCATACATTTTGCCTGCCTTTTGGAGAGTGTATGATAACTTTGCAAGACATTTTCATTCTTTCAAGTTAAAAGAATGTCAAATGCACTTTAAGATAGAATGAGAACGAGATGGTGCATTGTATATTGAATGAAGTTTGTACAATTACAATAGAGAGACATTTATAACAAAGGAAATGGCAAAAACTAACAGAATCCTACCTAAGACATTTCATCTTAACACCTTTTCCTCAAACTTAGGTTTTCTATTGAAAAATTCTAAGTTTAGATCGAAAATAAGAGACTTTGGCGCTAGAGAGAGAGCCTTTGTAAGACCATCAACAATCTAATAAATGATAAACTAAAATTTGTTTGCTAACAACTTTTTCTCAAATAAAATATAAATCCAATTTAAAATGCTTTATTCTATTATGTATTATTGGATTGGTCAAGAACAAATAGTGGGACTAGTTTGTAGTTCAAGCTTGAGTGTTGTTAGTAGAGATTCAATCCATAAAATATCTATAATTGTTGAAGAAAGACTCCTATATTCAGCTTCAGTGTGACTCGCATGTTATTTCTTTGAAAACCAATTTATAAGGTTGCCACTAAAGTAAATATACTACTAGAAAAACCCGAAAATATAGACGAATTTATAGATGCATTTTTTCACTAATACAGACGAATTTTAGCTTTATAGACAGCTACAGTCTGTTTGTAATATGTACGTCAGTAAATAATTACAGACGGATTTAAATCTGTCTGTAATTTACAGACAAAAAAATCTGTCTGTATTTACAGATGGAAAAATCTGTCTATAATTTATAGACGGAAAAATTCGTCTGTAATACAGACAGAAAAATACCGATGAAAAAATTCGTCTGTAATTACAAATGAAAAAATTCGTTTGTAAATTCATTTATGAAATTTCAAAAAAATTGTTTCATTTTTTTATAAACATAATTATTTCTCGCTGTTCCTAATTATCACAATTTATAAACATAATAAAAACTACAAAATTATATATTTAAAATTAAAAGTTATTTATAAAATATAAAATTAAAATTTCATTACAAAGGAAATAGTAAACATCTAGAAAAATAATATAAAAAATAAAATAACATTGTATATCACTAATAATCGGCGTGATCATCTTCCAAAAAAGTATCGCCATCAGTAGAGGAAGAGTCAAAGGAGGAATGACGCATAGAGTTTTGGAGCTGAGAAGAGGTGTAGAGGTGCTTGCTCACATGAGCTCAAAGTATGCATGCATCTGCTGCATCTGCATATGCTGCTGTTGCATCTGTTGTTGCACCTCCCTCTGCATCCTCGATGCCACATTCTTCTCTATCTTCTCCATTTTCTTCACCCACTTCTTCTTCCATGCACTTTCCTTACTCTTCCATATCTCTTCATTTTGCTTTTTTAGTTCTTCATTGAGGGCATGGACTTGAGTGCGGACCATGTCATCCACTTCCTCAGGTACAAGAGAAAGGGCATCTCCAGTGACAGATGTAGGGGACATAGAGTCTGCAAAGCAACTTCCCATGCCGTAAATGTGGCCTTTATAAAGGCCACCCACCGTCTCTGACCATATAGTATCATCATCAACTGACTCTAGATCTTGATAAGATGCCTTCTCAAGCCTTTAAACATAGTCATCCTATAATTTAATGCAGATAATTATATATTAGTCTCGAAAACTATATAATAAATCATTAATAATAACATATAGTGTCAATAAGAATAACTTACGTATGTGGCCTGAGATCGTGTATCAACCCACAAAGTTTTGTCTCCCTTGCAAGTATGTGTCTTCTTGAACACCTCTCCATGTGTAGGTGGTCTCTTCAGTGACTTTTCCTGCAATTTCAATTAAATTACCGTCTCACTCATCAATTATAGATTGAATAAAATAAATTTTAAAAGAAAATTAAAAATCACATACCAAGTTCACTTTAGTGCCAGCCAAATTCGTAGAACCACCAGTATGTAATGATCCTCCTTTTAAGGATATCCTGTTTGTCTTGTTCTTTACGGAAAAGAGATTTTTAAACTCATCCGTACCCCAATACTCCTGCAAGACATGAAGGAAGTTGGGTGCTATCCAATCAGTAGATGATGGATCCTGACGGGCCTCAGTGCGACTCTTCCATGCCTTGAAAATCATCTTTTCATCCTAGGGGAGAATGGAGAAGTTGCTCTACATAAATATAATTTCATTAGAATAATTACAAGAAACAATATCTAATTACACTTAGCTGGAATTAATTAACTGTTATTACCTTCCAATCTTTAAACCATTCCATCTTTGTATCCTTAGGCACCTTTGCAAAACTTGTGTAAGGCGCATCAAACATCTTCTTAATGGTATCTATTACCTAGTGGAGACCCTTCTGTGGTGGAATCCAACTTAACACACAATAAAATAATACAATTATTATAACTTGTTTAAAACAAATAGAGTTATTATTCATATTTTAAATTTAACTTACCAAGTAGACCCATCTCATCTTAAAGTTGGAAGCGATATAGATGATGCCTGGGTCTGTGATGATTGCTGCCCACTTACAGCTGGGACAGCAGTAGATCCCTCACCTGTGCCCTGTGTAGAAGGAGGTTGTGTGGCATGTGTAGTCGGCAGTGAAGGGGGAAGAGCAACATACCCAGAGTTGGGCACCATGATAAACTGTTCCTGTCCCCTATCCTGCGAGGTCTGCATAGTAGCTGTGTGGAAGTGGAAGTGGGAGCGGTGGGTGAAGCAGTGTTGCCACGATTAGGACCCTGAGTAACACCTTTCTTACCTTTACCTATCATATCTGAAACAAATATAATACATGTTTAGAGACCAAATACACAAATACACAATATTGTATCAACCTTTTATTTTACATTACACAAATTTCTAATGTAAATTTTGGCAGAATCTCCCCTAATATATGAATATTTTATTATATTTGTTTACACTTAATACAACAAATTTCTAATGCAAATTTTGGCAGAATCTCTCCTAATATATGAATATTTCCCTATATTTGTTTACACTTAATACAACAAATTTCTAATGTAAATTTCGGCAGAATCTTTCTTAATATATTAATATTTTCTTATATTTGTATACACGTACTTAATACAAAAATTTAAATTTTCTTTATACATAATCTATATATTATGTAACAATCTATTAATCAATGCATCAAAAACATACACATTACAATCCTAAACCATTCTAGAACACATCCCCCTTATAACTCCACAACATGCATATTTTACAAACTCCGCAAACACAAACAATCCAACAACACACAATAATAAGATTTGGAGAAGGACCTCTACGTCCTTCCCCTATTCATACAATCTCCAATCCTACAACTCTATCTTAGAAATTTTAAGTCTCTAAAATACATCAAAAATAAAAAAAAAACTAAACCGATTAAAAGTTAGAGTATTGTACCAGGAACACAATGATGCAAATTATCTTTCAAATGGATGCTCCAATCACTCGCAAAGGCCAAAAAACTAAAGCTCTTTGAGAGAGAGACAGAGAGAGGCGAGAGAGAGAGAGATTTATGAAAAATGAGGAAGGGGAAGGGGGAGGCACGAATTTATGGGTTTCAGACATTAAAGATAGAAAAATCTGTCTGTAAATGGTTTAATAAAACGGTACATTTTAAAGGTTCAGTTACAGACGAATTTTTTCGTCTGTAAATTTGTCAAGTGCATTTACAGATGGAAAAATCTGTCTGTAACTCTCGCTCCAAATTTCCCTCCCTTTTTCAAATTACAGACGAAAAAATCCGTCTGTAATTTCTGTCTATATTCTGTAATATAGACAAATTTTTCAAAAAATTAAAAAAAAAACCACAAATATATCTGTAAATCCCTCTGTAATCAACGCTTTTCTAATAGTGAATACAAAATCTTGAGGTTGACAAGTGAAAGTTTGAGGATATTTTAAATTGTAAACCAAACTCTTAAGTTTTATGAAGGTATCTAAGAATGCATTTGACTATCTTTCAATGAGTGTCCAAAAGATTGTGCCAATTCAACTGCCTTTCAATGAGTTTCCAAATGATTGTGCATGAATTGGCAGACCATGTTGACATAAAAGGTGGCTTCTAGTCGTATTACAGTGGTACATTGTAGTGCTCTTACTATCGATTTGTGCAAGTGAGAATCATAAAAACAAGTTCCTTGATATGTACAAAGTTTAAGATTAGAAATCATAGGTGTAGGACATTAGTTTGCATGATTCCATATTAACTCTCTTTAAGAGATCAATAATGCATAATACTTGAATGTCTAGAAAATGCTGGAGTTAACCAAGACAAAGTAACTTACGAAAATTAATTGCTAGAAGGCAAAACCAAAGTATCTTCTATAAATTAAATTACAAAATTCAAAATAAACTTTAGAAATTAATTTTTTGGAAGACAAAACAAAAGTAACTTTTAGAAGCATGTAAATAGATTTTCAAAATTTAATTTCAGGTTTCAAAGCTTTTGGAATTGAACTTCCGAAAGTATCCGATGTTCTTAATTTTGAAATTCAGTTTCCGGAAACCTACACAACATGCTTCCAGAAATTTAAAAAAAAATTAAAATAAAATTATCCAATCCAAACTACTTTTTTTTTAATTGGATTGAATTTAATTTTTTTTAAAACCCATTTAAACCAAACTTTTTGTCCCAAAATCGACCAACAATAGCACCAGTAACTTGGCTACAAAATGAATAACTGTGGCGCATTGTATCATTGGAATTTATGCTACTGATTCTCGCCACACGTCATTTTACAAGAACTCAAAACTTGGCTATAAACAAATTAGAACTCACTCAGTTTTGGTCCATTCTGAGAGCATCCAAACTTGGATCCTTTGAGAATTTATCTTGAAACTAGCTTCAGAATCTTCTTTTGAAATTAATTATTAATAAATAATTTTTATTTAACCATTCATTTTATATTATTTTCATGATAAAAATGTGACGAGGTCCCAACGCTCCATTGTGACATTGATGATCGTTGAAGTCCTTCACTGCATTTTGTTGAGTTTGCATAGAAAGCATTCAGTTTTGGAGAGGAATAATTTCCTTCTCCAGAATTCCAACTCTTCTCTTTACCCATTTGTGTAGCTCTTTTTCTTTCTCCTTCCTATGCTCAGATTCTTGTTGATGCCTCCATTGTTATTGTTCTATCAACCACTGTTCCAAAACTCACATCTCAAGTTTTAGTGACAGAAACTTCGCCATCATGCTTCCGCTTCTTTATTCTTGACCCAAATTGTTGACGGATTTTTTCTCTTCTTCAGCCCTCGTATCAACAAAGGCTTGGTTCTTGGTGTTAACAATTTCATCTTTGCTTCTAATTTTTAACTCCCTTTCCTGTTTCATGATTCTTGATTCCACAGTTGTTGTTCCTTGTTCAACTCTTCTGATACTTCAATGATTTCTCTATTAAGGCGATCATCCTCAATCTCCCTTCCCCAATCTGCAATCTCTTCATTTCTTCAAGAATTTCTTCATTCTTGTCAAATCTAAATAGTGAATTAATTCACAATTATGCACTAACCCCAGCTTTAAGATTAGAGCTCTGATACCAATTGGTATAAATCTGATATCTTATTACAAAGAAATAGGGATAAACCCCAATTACTAAGCTAGTAATTTCCTCTCAAAATGACAAGATGCCTTCCTTTCCTCTTCTCTTCTATTTAAACAAATGATACCCTTTTATTATTGTCACTAACTACTAATTTGAACCAACTAATTAAATAATGTCAAAAACTAATGGGTATCTATCAAGAAAGTTAAGAAACCACGATCTAATAAAGGAAAAACCATACCAAAATCTGCTAAGAGAAGCCCTCTTAGATCCATCTCACATAAAATTTGATACAATATAGTGTTCCTCTTTACAGGATATTTCCCAATTAAACTTACGCTTCTACGACAGTGTTTCCTCCGACTTAACTATCAAACATTCTCTGAACAAGAAAACTGAATATCATCATAATTAAACCATCTCAAATGTTTACACTAACGGCCTAATTACCTACCCAATAAAACTTAAGACCCTAATATTAAATATTATTTGATCTGAAGAGCCGAAAAGGTTATTAGATAATACAAACGAACAAAGCCAACAAAAGCAGCAAAGGCAGACATGCCATGACCGCTCTTAAAAAAAATCCGCCAGCATGCTCAGAAATATAAGACAAGTAGCAACTCACAGAAGGAAGTACATTTATCATCGTGGCTTGAGATCTTTTGCTGCTAAAAGCTGGAAATAGTAGAACTTACAAATGTTAAAAGTACAGGAAGAAGAAAGATTGCAAACAGAAAAAATTGCTTTTGTAATACTGCACAATCTCAGCCGTTAGAAATCTAAACAAGCATTGCCCATTAAAAATTAGATCCCTTAGATCACATGGTTGGAGAGCCCCATTGCTGAAGGACAAGACAGCCCAGAAACCAGGAGCAACCATATGTCCACAAAACCCCACTCATTCCCTGAAATAAGTTTAAGCATGCTATACCTCCAACTGGATGCGTTTACTTTAGTTCCAAGTCATGGGGTCTGGACTTACCATTGAGATATTTGATAGTTCTCAACCACCTGTAGTTGGTAGTTGATTTGATCTGACAGTGATGGCAACTGAGGATGCAAAACTTGAGGCAAGGACTGCCTCATTGCTTACAGCCTTAGATGCAGCCACATCTTCCAATCTCTTCCAGGTGGATTGCCGCTTCTCCTGCTTGTCTCGCTCCTTGATTTCATCTTCCTGGAATCTCATCAAGCAGTCATCAAAGAGTGCCGGATCTGCATCAGAGAATATTTTTCTCACATTCAGGGTCAAACTCTGAACAGCCTGGTTCCAGTGGCCTCGTGTATTTTTCTCCAAAGCAGGGAAGATTATAGGTAATATCACTTTGCAGTTTTGGATGATCAAATTTCTAATATGATCATTGTTCCACAGAAACAATGCCCGTTCAGCTACCTGTAGACAGAACCAAGTCTACATTAAAATTTCATTATGTAAAATTTAATTTTGCCAAAATACTTCCACTTAAGATATTTTCCACTGAATATATTTTCTTCCATTGACTCTTCCAGTTTAACTCCAGAGAAATAATTTAGTTAATTATGTATAGCAAATTAAAGCAGCTAGTAATATACACACAAACCTAACAAATTTTGTTTTTATCATAAACACAAGTTTCAACTGAAAAGCAACTATATATAAAAGGAACAGTAGTCCAACTTTGAACAAAGTCGAAGGATTATTTTACAATAATAAGACAGTTATCAAGTCAATTTGAATCATTAATTCATAAAAAGGCCCATCATAATAAGATATGTTGAGGTTATCATTAAAAATAAAAATTTCAACTTTAAGATCATAGTCACAAGCCCACAACAAAGAGAGCCCTAGTTCATACAACTTGCAATTCATTGAGGATAAATTGAAACTTTGAGTGTTCTAACATATTATTAACCAATAACATAGTCCATTCAATGTACATTAATATGTATCTCCCTTAATGTTAAAATTAACAGAATTTTTATATTTTCAAATTTCAAATAATTAAATAATGGGGTTGCTAACTTTGCCCCACAGTGAGTTATAGGGACCTACTTAAAATTATAAGAACAACAACAATCAAGCCTTATCCCACTAGCTGAGGTCGGCTATAAGGATTACACAACACCATTGAACTCAATCAAGAACCAAATTTTCATAACTATTATTAGTCAAAAGATCTTTTTTAATAACCTCCTCTAAAGTTTTTTCAGGTTTCCCTCTACCTTTAAAAAGGGGTAGAGGGAGACTGTAGTGAGCTATTTGACAATTTCAAACAATTATACTCAATTGTTGAAGTAGTGAATTAGGATTGCATTATTTTATTGGAAAATGAAGGTTATTAAATTGTTTATTTAGATTTTCTACATGGGCAAACAAGTTTCACAATTTAAGAAATTACAAGTCACGTCCATTACAACTAGAGCTAAAAAATATTCATCTCCAATTTTCAATATAACTTCTTATCTCCAAAATACAAAACAGTGTCCAAACCCAAAAGTGGCCTAGTATTTTTATCAGCTGTGCCCAACCAACATTGCTGATAAGCCAGTTGAAATATGAAAAGTTAAAAGTGTTTGACTTATTAAATTAGAAGTGTTTGACATAGTTATCAATCTCGGATAGAAGGGTGGGCATAGCAGACACTATAGCCATATAGCACATAGGAGGATACTTGCTATTGTGATATTTTTAAACAGATTATCTAATTTATTTATGCAACACATCAAATACTCAAAAATTTAAAATACTACTCAAATTTCATGATATATTCATAACAATAAAAAGTCAAATAAACATTGGAATGTGGCCAGAAAAAAAAAAATAGATGCAGCCAGTAACAAAAGAGACAGTTGCAGTTGCTGTAAAATTGTCAAAGGAGGTATCCAATGACACTGGCGGGTGGGCATCCTTCTGAATTCAGAAAGTGTAGATGGTTTTAAACAAAGGATGGCAAACTAGTAAAAGCCCTGGCTTTAACTTAAGGTCTGAAAAGGAGGTAAGAATCTTATTTTTACAAAAAAAAAAAAAAAAAAAAAATAAGAAGAAGAAGGGAACAAGGGAAGAATGGTTTTCATTCTCTTTGCACATCACTCCACTCTAGCTTTTCAATGGCAGTCAACAGCCACTCCAAGCTGCAACAGTGCTATTAATAGCTTCAGTGTTTGGCAAAACTATTTTTTGAACAAACTGATAAATGTAAAATGATATGTTTATGCAGATTTTATATACATAAAAAATAACATTAATTAGCAGTGTGGTCAACGGCACCCCATTTTTGTGTGTCTCTTTGATATTTCTACTTACATCATAATGTGCTATTTGTAATTAAATTATTATTGATAAGACCTGATCTTTTCATGTTGTTTAGGTCATTCTAATAATATTTTACAGTTGTGTTGAGAACTGTATTGTTTTATAGAAGGCTTTGCCTAATCACTAACCAATTAGTCACATTCCCATTGTTAGGCTGTGAAATTAAACTTTTTCAACTCAAGCTGGACAAAATTGATAGCATACCATTAATAAAGCAAGTGTATGTTAAAAAGACTAAGAGGGGTAGGGGGTCATAACCCAACTAACTAAATTAGTTGGAGGTGGTTAGTAAGAGATTGTATATAAAAGGAAATATGATAAGACGCAAGGCAGGAAGGGAACAGGATCATTATAAGGTTGGGGAGTTCAGGGTCTCTCTAATGCACTTTGAACAGTGTAACATCTTTGTCTGTTTCTTGATCACCTTGATCAGGGGGCATTCTTGTGAATAAATACAATCTGTTGTTTTGTTTTCCATCTATATCAAACCAGTTCTAACACATTGCATCTCAAATTGGTGATGTAATTGGAAGTTACAAGATGATAGTCTTGTTCATGGTGATTTTTTATATAAATAAGATTCTTTCTTCTGTATAAAGGTATCACACATCACTAGAGGATGTTCTCTGTTGTGAAAGTCATGTAGCAGAATCTGTATTTGAATAAACCATAATAGGTAAGTCATTTTGTGTGATATCCTTCACAAAAAATTTGAATGAAATTCAGTAGGGATTTGCTTTATTGGAAATGCACTATTGCATAATTTTTTCTAGCTTTGCTTTTGTGTGCAGCAGACAGGCAACGACGTTAATTTTCTTGGAGGCAGATGGGTACTGTGAAGGTGAGGGTTTTTCCTGGATTATATTGGATTTATTGATTTAGAAGAGGGTAAAAGAGATATTTTATCAAAATATTAAAGATAAACAAAGGACAAAACGTAATAAGATAAAATCTTATACACTACTCAAAGTAACGTCTTAGAAAACGTTATAAGCCAATGAAATAAGCTTCTAAGTTATCAAATAAGCAACATACTATAGCTCAAATGACCAGCCCCAAACACACTAACTCTGGAGGAATTCATTATTTAGAATTGAAAAAGAATAATGATCAAGAGGGTAGACTAACATAGAAACAGCAAAAATAAAATAAAATAAATCACAAAAGCAAAAGGGGGAAGACAAGGAATAAATGTTATTTTAGAGAAATTTTCCATTTCCTTTCCAAGTTCAATATAGGCCTAAATTAGAGAAAGGGTTAAGGCCATTACGGAAGTGAAACAGAAAATAAGTTAGGGTAGTTAGGGGGAGAATAAATAGGGAGTAGGATGTGGATAAGGCAATTTTGGGAAGTTGTTGGAATCATGAAAGAGGGGCAGGGCTCTCGAATTCCTTGTTATAATTTTGTAATTATTTCCTTCTTGTTGACCTGTTGTTCAAAAAAGATTTTTAGAGCAATAAAGATTCTTTTCATCCTATCTTTTAAGAATTTGGTTTCAGACTAAGCTCAATGATGTTTTGTTATCCACTTAGCCAATCTCATTTAGTGGGATAAGTCTAGTTTGTTGTTGCATCCTAGCTTGTGGTACCAGATTGGAAACACACTCTCCCAAAGCAAGGTGTTCCTTTACAGATACACACTCTGTCTAAGCTAACTAACTGAATGCTCTCATGCCCCCATTACCCTCACTCTCAACTGTCTGTTATGAATAGCTATAATAGATTTATTAGGATAAGGCAATTCCAGCACACTAATTCTACAATCTACATCAACTACTAAAACCCCCTATGCTGATCCACAAGACTTCCTTTCCAACTTCCACTAATTCCATTAACTGCTTCCCGTCAATTGAGCCACCCTGATAGGTACCAGGAAATAACAGAATGTGTATATCATAATATATTAATGCAAAATCCAGGCCTGTATCAAGGTGATGACAGGTTCTGAGTGCTAAAGAAACTGAAAGAACAAGTGGTCTAGGCAATTTAACACTGCTCAGTCTCTCTCAAAAGTCCCAACTAATTTTTTTGCTGAACTCTTACCATACCCCTGCCCAACAGAATTCTCAAACTCCCCACCCTTCTTGCCAGCTCATGGTTAGGTACATAGGAATTGATATTACTAATTACATCGTCTCTCTAGTAGCTATGATTTCCTATGTCACTATCCTTTTCACCCTTCCGTACACATATCTTATCCTTGGGGTCCTATCACACTTTTCTTCCTCCTTGAATACGCCTTCCAACCTGGGGTAAATCTGAATCAGGTCCAAAGCCTGACCCACTTGAGCCCTCTCCACATCATCTACAGCCCTCAGTTTAAGCTCAAGTCTATCATATGAAGCATGGACACTGCTGTCCATGGAGGTGTCATGGTGTCGGACACGTTTCTGACACCAACACCTCATTGGCACCCACCCAACATGTGTCCAATACCTGTACGGAAGTGTCTAAATAAAAAACAAAAAAAATTCAAGTTTCAACACAGCTTAACTACTCAGCTGACACCTTAAAATGGTTGGACACAGCCAGCATTAAAACAGTCTCTTTTTTTTTATTTTCAGAAATTTCAAATTTTAAAATTCATTTTTTAAATGTTTTAAAAATATTTAGAACTAAAAGATTTTGTTTACTCAACTTCTTTGATACGCTTCTTTTTCCATTCTCACTGCACTTCTTTCATGCCTCTTACTCTTACTTTTTTTCTTTTTTTTGTGAGGCTCATTATCATATAGATATCGTAAAGTTAAATAACTTGTTTGAATATATTGATCTTAATTTTCAATTTAAATTTTATCATGTTGATCATATTTAATTTTTAATATATATAATAATTATATAAAATATGCATGTAGTGTCCCGGTGTCCGTGTCGTGTTCAGAGTGTGCCAAAGTTGGTCCTTCATAATAGATTCTACCAGGTTCTTTCATGTTCTGGAAGAAATTTGTCCAAATGGAGGAGTCAGAGGAATCAAAGGATAACTCTTTTATCAGCAAAGTAAGACAAATGGAAAGAATTAATGTTTCTCCCCAAATCCAAAGTTGTGGTGAAGTACAGTAACATGTGTTTTCTTTTAAATAATGTAATACTGGAACAGAAATAGAATAAAAAATATGTTTTGTAGAATCTACCCTTGATTCCACACCAAAGTGAGATGGTATAAAGTCAGATGAAGGATGTGAAATAGGAATTCTTTTCCTCAGTTCCTCTCTCTAATTTCAACATATCCAAGAAACTCAATTCTCTCCCTTTTCTCAATCTTCAAAAAAGCCCCACACCATTCTTCCAACTGTCTTGTAACTGCCACCCCCTATATTTGTTATTAATATTAAGGTTTAATTATAAATTTTGTCCCTACATTTGACACCACTTTTCTTTGTCTCTCTACATGAAAAAATTACACATTTTTATCCTTATATGAAAATTTATTTATGGATCAATCTGATAAACCTTTAATTACATATCAACAGAAAAGGGCACATGGGTCAAACCATAAGAGCACCTGATTTTCAGTATTTATCTGCAGAAGTTATTCTTTCATGCATTGTGTCATTTCTTCCTGTTAAGTAGGGTTTATGGACTATGTCCCGTAGTGGTCAAGCTTAGTGCTTTGTTGCAGTTATTTTTAAATTAAAGTAATTATGACCAGGCTCATTACTCCTGGTTTTCAGAGTCAGCTAAAATTTTTTAGGAAGTCAAGTTGTAACTTTTCATCTATATATGTTCCTTATTCAGTTTAAGTAAACATGAGAAAATTTTCAGAAAAGCTTTTATTTCCTTGCAGATTCTCCATTGGCTATTAATTTCTCTAGGAGTGAGATTCTTTCTCTGGGAAAATTATTAGATTAGAGCAATATGTTGATTTCTGTATTTTAGCTGTCTTATCACAACCTCTGCCATTTATTGAAGTTAGAATGGAGTTAAATTTAGTCCCTATACTTGACATCATTTTTTGTTTCAATCCCTATAATTGCACTTCATTTTGGTCCCTCTCTATAAGTCTATATAAAAGCTCTGCAGTTTGGCCCTTACACATAACATAACGTATCATTTTTCATTTTGGTCCCTATTTCAAAAACATGCAAACACTGTTATAACTTCAATGAATGTTGAGGAGCAGTTTATACAAAAAATTTCATACATGGACCAAACTGTAGAACTTTTTCTTATAGGGACTAAAACAAAAAGTAAGCTAGGTATAGGGTCTAAAATTATAATTTAACCTAATATTAATAACTATCATTAAGGTTCTAATGCTCCACTTCCCATCCTATTCATCCTGGCTAGACTTTGATAATAAGAGTTCTGCTATCATAATGAATTGAACTGCTAATTGAAGAGTTTATGAAACTTTTTTCCTCTTCAGATTGTGATAATATTGTTCACAAAGGTGTGATGTCAAATGAACCCTAAGTATTTTTTGCTCAAACAATGAGCATCCTATGCATAATGCATAAATTATATGATATATTTCAAGCTATTTTTCACTGTGTTTATGAATCTTGCCGCAATATGATTTATAATTCACAATTCCAATTGTAATTTGATAACTTTGGTCAATATAGCCATGAGAAGCAAATGGCAAGGTAAATGAACGACAGAAATAGAGAAGCATGGATCACTGGTATTGGCAAATGCTAAAGCAGATATCACATAAGGAAAAAGGAGGCAAATTTTGTAAGTACCTGAAAGTGTAAGCTGTTGAGGCATCTACCAATTTGACGAAATAATGGGACCACACAACGCTGAAATTCTGCTGCTTGAGTGGCTTCTAAAACTTCCTCCAGTTCACCAAGGAACATTACCTCCTTTGAACTATTAGTTATGGGCCAATATTTCAAAAGGCCTCTAATAACAGTATCAGCTAGTTTGACATCTTTCTCAACAAACTGTGTAATGCAATATGAAAGCTGTTGATGATACATAGAGACACACTTTGGTTTGTGAAGGGGGATCAGTGCTCGGACAAGGAACAGCTTATGTTCTTCCTTCAAAGGCAAAGCAAATCCATTAATTATGCTGCCCAATATCTCCAGCAACTCTGCAATTCCATTGTGTTTCTCTGTCTCAAATATGAACCGGTAAAATATATTATTGATAGCTTTTCTAATGAATGGCCGATGTACCATGAACTTCCCATAAATTCGATGGAGAATGGTCTTCAAGTATTCCCTCTCCCTTTGGTCCTCAGAGTCAAAGAGGTCAAGCAATCTCAACACAAATGAATGATCAATGTATCTTTTAGCAAGCTTTGCATCTGTCTCTGATGAAGCCACAAACCTATAGAGAATTTCATACACAATCTGCAGATGACTCCATGCTGGCTCCAAAGTGGGTTCCTCTTCTTCAAGCTCATATGTTTCTGCAACCTTACCATCATGATTAGAAGAAGGTAGAGTTCGAAACAAATTTGCTGCCACCATCTTCGTGATTTCCTGCATTGTTACTTCATTGAACTTTGAATTCACAGATGAAACATAATCAACAAGCTCAAGCAAAGTTTGCCTCTTGATGTCCTTCTCTTTAAGATGCTTAGCTGGATCATTAAAATCAAATACAATACAACACATATGCAACTTCCTGATAAAAAGATTTGGCTTTTCCGAGCTAGACACGTCCCGGAAACTCGGTAAAGCCTCATAAACTCCTGCAGTCATTATGGGGCCAACTTGTGATGCAATTGCAGAAGCTAATTTCTTAGCTTGGTTCATTGTATTTGAACTCGTCAAGTGTGGCCCAAGAGTCCCATTCCCCGACTGCGACCCCCCTGAACCAGTATTCGCAGATTTTGAATTGGATTTCAAGGTACCACTGGAACTGTGCCCATGAAATGAGTTTAATGATGAACCACCATTGACTACCCTTCCATCACCGTTCAAATCACTATGTGATGATGATTTTGAAGGCTTGCGTGGTATTTTACCAAGTATCTGTTTTATCATATCTAGAACACCCAAAACCAGAAAAATCCCAACCCTGATTGTTCTACAGCCGAATCAAAATTTCAACCTTGAAACTGCATGCAATTAATAACACGACCACAATTAACGAATAACACACATAGCAGGGTCATATACACAACTTTGCAACCATACCCATATTAGAAAAGACACATCACAAAACTATCATTGAAAATCATATTCACTAATCCCATTGAATGAAGCAGGCATCAATAAATTGACAGGACAAATGTACTTACACTGGGAGTAAGACTGAGAGTACCTCAGGTTGGGGCAAGAAAATGGGAGAAAACGCAAGAAAAGTGAAGTGGAAATGTTGGGCACTTAACACATTAACCCTAGTGTGAATAATAAAAACAAAAAGAACAAAGGTGTTGATGAGCCAATTTGACTTTGTGCGTTTCTTCGTGTAAAGATGGAACAAGAGAAGAAGGAAAGAAGGGTATGCAAAAGGTTGTGTTTGTGTTTTGTATTTAACACAAAATGTCTTTTTGAGTTTGAATTTCAGGTCCACGCTCCAGAAAGAGAGAGAGAGGAAAGGAGCAGTACCTGAGCTTAATGACATCTGTGTCCCACTTTTTATTATTTATTTTTATTAACACTTTTTGAAGTTGTAATGAATGAAAGGATACGTCAAAAAATAAAAATGATAAGAGTTTTTTTTAGGTAAATTTTACTGTGTTATAAAAAATAAGGAGTATTTGTGCTCTTATACACGTAAAATAATGTTAATTTTAGTGATAGAATTAGTGATGTATTTAAAAAAAATATAAATAACATTTAATATCTTAGAAAAAATATTTAATATATCTTCAAATTTAGGAGCATTTAGCAAGTATTTTTTTTATTGTGTCTATAGAATATAGACACATATGAAATATTTTACATAAATCATAACATTAATGTTTTTAAATTAAGTATTAAAAATTAATAAACAATTTCTGTATAACAGATGATAATTTGCGTTTAGAAATTAAAAATATTTTTTTATTTAAATTTTTTTAATATTTTTATTTTGTATATTAAATGTGACTCCTTATTTTTAAACAAGAATTTTTTTGGATGTAACTTAAATTAGATTAGTTTTAAAAAAAAATATATATATATATATATATATATTTTTTTCATTATGTTATATTATCTTACATTAATAAAATAATATTTATTATTTATTAAATTTTAAATTAATTATGTAATTATTTCCAAATTTAAAAATATTTTAATTTAATAATATCCGTGTAATGCATTAAAAAGTACTAATATATCTTATATAATTATCTTGCATTTATATTAGTAAATATTATTTTAATAAGCAATTCTTTTCTTAACAAACTGTAGGGTTATTTTAAACGCTAAATGTTGTTAAATTTAAAGTATATATATTTATTGTATTTTCATATTTTCTTATGATATAAGCACTATTTATAAAATCTTACTTTTATATCTTTAAAATCAACCTTAATAATAATGTATGATAATAATTTTCTTCAATATAAATGAAAATCCAAACACGTGAACAGCTTTGTACCAAAACACAAAAAAGAAATGGACAACTGTTACAAATTACTAATTAAGAAACTAGAAATAATAAGTTTTAATAAGAAAGTAATATTACTAACGCACCTTCGTCTTAATATTTAGTATAATTCACCTAAAACTCTAATAAAAAGGTTATTCATTAATTTATAAAATAATATTTTTAAAATATTCATTAACAAACATTAATATAAAAATAATATATATTTTTGAAGACACCATAGAAAAATTCAAATGAAAAATCATTATTGTTTTATTTGAGAAGCAAGGCAAGACCAAGTATTTTTGGGTGGTAATTGGGACCCAAATATCATAATCCATAAATGTCCCAAAGAGGGACCATTCATATGTCATTGTTTGATTCTTGTGGAGTGGGTTGCGTTGTCTACTTAATGAAGGCCATTCCCATCATTTTAGACTCACTCAATCTAATCAATTGCGTAGTTCAACCACAAGGACATACTTGTCATTTTCAATATATATTTTTTTTTCTATTCTAATCTTGTGTTGAAAGTGAAATGGGTTGGATAACACTAGGGGTGCCCAACCCCTCGCTCTACCCTACCAAAAGTTTACCTAAAAATAGATTAGCTCAGAGTTTGCCTTGTTTAAAAAATAGGTTAAATTTTTTAGGCTTAAATATGTTTTTCATTTTTATAAATGTAGGTCGTTTTGTGATAATTCCCTATAAAAGTTTTTAAAAGATGTAGTCCCTAAAAAATTAAAAATTTTGAATTTAGTCTCTATAGTTAACAAAGAGCTAACTTAGAACTCCAAGTGATCATCTTAAGGCCTAATCACTAGCTATGTGGTATGCCACGTCATTTTTTAAATTTTTTTATTATTTAAAATTAATATTTATAAATAAACCCCTAGTTATATTTCTATATTTGCAAATAAATACCTTTCTCTTTTCTCTTTTTTCTCTCATACCCCTCCTCTCCCTTCTCCTTTTTTTGCTTTCCTCAACGAGGAGAAAGTCCTTGTCGATTTTGATATTGCCCATTTGTTCTTCTCTGAAACGCCCCAAATTTTTGTGATATTGATTATTAATATATAAATATATATGTGTATATATGTGTGTATGTGTGTGTGTGTGATTAGATGAGTATAATGTGAATATGATAGTGTACATGCATATGTATATATCTATATAGATATAATAAATATGGATACTGATTGTGCATTGAGATTAGGTGTACTGGACTGATTGCAATTTTGACTAAGTGTGTGTGCTGTAGGGTGTTCTTGCTGTAGCTAAAAGGCCTTGGGCTGTAGTGAGAGGATTCTCGCTATAGCGAGAAGGCACTGAGAGAAAAGGACGAAACTGTTGCGTTCTTCCTATAACGAGAGAGTGACAATGAAGGGTGCAGTCTCGCTGTAGCGAGATTCTGTATAAACCACAGTGCAATTTTCTCTGAAATTTTTGCTATAGCAAGAGAGGTGTCGTTGTAGTAAGGTCCCCTCGCTGCAACGAGAATATCTCGTTGTAGCGGGAGTGTGACAATGAAGGGTGCAGTCTCACTGTAGCGAGATTCTGTATAAACCACAGTGCAATTTTCTCTAAAATTTTTGCTGTAGCAAGAGAGGTGTCGTTGTAGTAAGGTCCCCTCACTGCAGCGAGAATATCTCGTTGTAGCGGGAGTGTGACAATGAAGGGTGCGGTCTCACTGTAGCGAGATTCTATATAAACCACAGTGCAATTTCCTCTGAAATTTTTGCTGTAGTAAGAGAGGTGTCGTTGTAGCAAGGTCCCCTCGCTGCAGCGAGAATATCTCGTTGTAGCGAGAGTGTCGCGACCAGAGGGGTATTTGAAGGGTCTAGGGTTTGGGAAATGCATTTCTCTTTTCTCTTCATTTTCTTTTCGATTCTCTCAGTTCCCAAGTCATTCGTACCAATTAAATTGCCTCCACAATGTTTGAGAGCAAGATTAAAGGTTGGAAATGAGTTTGAGGTGTTTGGAGGCAAGTTTTGATGGTTAGAGTTTCAGTTTCTCATCCTTATTCTTTGTTTTATCAGTTTCCCTTAGTTCTCATGAGATTTTTCCATGTATTTAGGACGGAATTTATGTGCAGAGCCTCTTCATTATTAATTTCGTGTGTAGGTCTTCAATCCGAGGTAAAGGGGACTATACCCTATCTCTTTTGTCCTTAAATCCATTATTTTGCTATGTATTGTAATGCGAATGGTTTGGAATGTGAGTGTTTTAATGGAATAGATTGATTGTAGTGATATTATGTAAAGTATAGTGTAATGGATGTCGAATGATGCTTATGATGGATATGGATTGTGTTGGAAATGTTGTGTGTATGGAATGTGAAATGGGTGAATGTGAGCATATATGCCGTGTGAGGACATGAATACTATATGTAATTGAAAATGTGGCTGAAATGTATGTAAATGCGATTGTGAATATGTTGGAAGTTATGAATGGTTTAGTGATATACTGGAGGTGTGAAAAATGGGGGCGATAAAAATACCTTAGGAAAGAGAAGGTGGTGGTGACACCAACAGTGAGTGTGGGTGCACCACAGGCCCCCACACACTTTCCTCCTGACTCGGTCTCTGACTAACACCTTTACCGAACGACTTGTGACCACACACATTGTATCCGTGAGGTGGGGGTAACTGGCGACCATCCATGGTGTAAAACTGTGATCATAGTGCCACAGTGAGTGTGACTACGTGCAGTGAGTGCACGTGTGTATAAAATGTTGTTGGTGCAGTGAGTGCATTATTTTGTAAATTGAAATGGAATGTTTAAAAAATATTGTTTGCAATTTATTATACTTGAGTAGAATATGTTAGAAAACCTGTAAAGCGTGCAAGATGAGTCTATATGTTTTTGTGTGTTGGATAGTGTAGAGTACTTATTCTTACTTTTATTTTTTAGGTGACTAAGACGATCAGTACCGGGCTCAGTGAAGGGATGAATGAAACTACTATAGAGCTAGAAAATTATTTAAGAACTCTGATGTAATTGAATTAGTCCTGTAGCAGTTGTTTGATATAAATTTGTAAATATTTCTTATTTTAAAACACGTTGATGAAACACATTTCTTATTTTGAAACACGTTGATGAAATTATGTGTTGAGAAATTATATTTAGACGAAAATTTTATTATTCTCATTTTGTTAAGATTATTATTTTAAAATTAAATTTAAGGTGTTACATTCTTCGTCATTTCCCTTTTTCTTCTGTAACTCCACACACCAGATATACACAAAACCACTACCACAGCTACTGAGCCAGAGGACACTCCCGCAATCATGCTTTTTGTTTTGCATTTTGACTTTTTCTTTATGAATGCAAATTTGCCAAATTTTTTGAACTTGTTGAGGTATGTTGAAGAATTTATTTGTCTAAAGTGAAATAGGTTGGATAATGCTAGGGGTGGCAAAACAGGCCACCTAGCCTCGCTCTATCTTACCAAAAATCCGTCTAAAAACAGGTTAGCGTGAGTTTATCTCGTTTAAAAAATAGGTCAAATTTTTTAACCTGATCTATTTAAGGGCGGACTAACAGGCTAATGGGTTAGTATGGAAGAGGGAAGATTCTCTAAAAGCTGACGGTTTTTTTTCTCCTTATACAGATGACTCCCCCGTTTTTTGGCTGGTGAATACGGGATATGATCCACTCTGGCAGCTTAGCTTCTTTACTCTCTCTTGTGCTGGTTGTTCAATACTCCCATCAATCAACGGAACGTAATGCGGTAGCTCTGCCATCTGCAGCTTTGGAAGGATAAGAGCAATCGGCCGAATGATTGTTATTCCACTTACAGTGCCTCTATTGAAGCAGAAAAAGAAAAATACTCCAAACCTGGTTTCAAGTATTTCATTTCGATCCAAACTTGCCAGCTCTTTTTTCTTTCTAATATGAAATAAGTTCAACCTATTTTTTTCAGACTCAATACCCATCTTGATGATAAATATAACCAGTTTACGATTAGAGCCCTAGCAGGTTACGTAGCTTGTTTGGGGTCCTTG